TAAAGCTTTTGAGTTTTCCAAAAAATGTTCACAGTAAAATTATTACACTGAAATGGCGGGCACATGCGATGGTGTGATTTAAACTGTCTAATGCTAGCCGGCTTTGAGTTAGATACAACCAACGTCGAATCATGTCCAAAAATGTCCATTTCGTGCAAAAAGCGTAAGCCTGGACAGACGATGCTCCCGCTTCGCACACACATTGAAGTCGCTATTGGCTCTCATTTCGCACAAAAAACATCCGTCTCAAGACTTTGACTTTTCCGCACCAAGATGGCCGTGGCAACCTTGTATTCCTTTCCATGGTTACAACAAAGGCAATAATTGTTGTAATATTATTGCGTATCGTTTGCAAGTGCAATTTGCTTTCGAACGGAGCTGGTTTAAGGGATAAAAGCTTGAAGATTGGCGTGCACCAAAAATAGTCCAGTTCCAACTTGGTGAAATCTCATCGTATCTCTCGTCATTAGGCGCTCAATTGCACGGCCAATATGGCTGTGTAAATTGAAATTTTCTCACTGGTAGAGTTTTTACGTTATCTGACAAATTCTTTAGAAAGCGCATGGAAATTTGCAATTGCTATAGAAGCTGTTTACATGCACGGAAACACAAAAATCGGCCATTCTCAAATCATGCAATGTCGTTGCATTATACCTGTTTAAACGCAGAACTGCCTCAACCATGGGATGGTGTGACAGAAAATGTCTAATGCTGATACGTTTTGAGTGAGATACAACCAACGTGGAATCATGTCCAAATATGGCCATTTCCTCTGAAAAGCGTAAACCTGGACAGCCAATGTTTCCGATTCCTACACACATTTAACTTGCTACTGGCTCTCATTTTGCACCCAAATACATATTTTCAAGATCTTGCCTTTTCCCGCAGAAAATTGGGCATGGTGAAATTTGTGTTCTTTTCCATGGTTACAACAAGGGCATGATTGTAACATCGATGTGTAGCGTTGGGAAGCGCGATCTGCTTTCGTTCGCAGCTGGTTTCAGAGATAAAGTCCTGGAAGTTAGCGCGCACCAGAAATGGTCCAGTTTTACCTCGGTGGAATCTCATCGTATTATGCGTTAATAGATTAGTAATTGCATAGCCAATATGAGTGTGCAGTTTGCAATTTTTCACTTGCATCCTTCGGGAGTTATTTGAGAAAAAAAACTCAGAAGCCGCGCAAAAATTTGTCATTGTTCTAGAAACTTTGACATTTACAGAAACACTTTCCGCTTCATACACACACTAAATGGACCCTGGCCTTCCATTTTTTAGCAAAAAAGATAGGATTCCCAATCTTGTTCTCGAAAAAGATGTTCTCTGTAATTTTTTTCTTATTAGCCGGTGATTAAAAATGTTGTCAACAGTTTGTGACATTGTTGTGCATCGTTTGCAAATAACATCAACCATTTCTTTTCATTCTTTCGAGAGATATGAGCTAGGGCAATTTTACGTCCGAAAAATCAGTCATGCCGAAATGCTGCCAGTTTCATTGCACTATGCCTGTTTAGACGCAGATCTGCCTGGCCCATGCGATGGTGAGAGTTAAAGGAAATGTTTCACCTTTGAAGATATTGAGATAAGCATCACGTATGATGGGGAAATCTTACTTGCAGCTCTTGGTAAGCTTTCAAGGTTCAAAAGTGACCCAAGTAGCAGAATCTCAAAGTTCGTAAACATGCGCCCTGTTGCGTCATTGTCTGATGACGTCATGGAATGGTTTTGTGACGAAAGCAGCACCGGGCAACATCTGGCAGCCAGACCTAAAGAAAACCTCGAAACGCACGAAAGCTGACCCTAACCGTTCGCTGAGCTGCTGAAGCTGCCCCCGCCCCTTCCTGTCGCGGGGGCTGTGTTGTTGGCGGATTAGTGAATGGCTTGGTTGTGGCCATTTGGCTTGGTACATGTTGTAACAGAAAGTTTGGTGAGTTGTTTGACATACGCAGCGTTGCGATCGCCGGCTTTTGGGGTAGATTACTGAAATCAAAACACAGTATGCCGCGGAGACTCATGTAGCGTGATGAATCTTTCCGAAACTTGCCAAGGACTGTTAAGGATGTAAATACCGTATTGTCGACTTATCCTTGCCCAGAGTGCTACAGTTCTAGCATTGATCACATGTGTGTGCACTGTCGTTACTTTCTTTTTTATTTGTGACTTAAGGTGCAGTCACATGCAAAAATCAATGAACCTGTAGCATTGCTATGAATTGATTCCCAAAACATCGTGATTTCTTCGGTAAACATGGTAAGGTTGGGACACCAGGAATGTTTTTCTTGCTTAGGATTAGTTATGCAATCACTAGCTAATCATGATGAAATCATTGCGGTGCAACTGCATTCTCGCTGGTGGCAGTTCTTTGGCGTCGTTAAACCAGTCGTTACCAGTCATCCATAAATTATAGCTGTTATCTTGTAGGCTTGCCATCGAGTAGTCAACCAAATGTGACGCATTGTGTAATGGCACGGGTCAATAGTGTCATCGTGGCACGACCTACGTGCTGTACTGTGGCATGGCATAATGAACAATGATGTGGTTTTTGTACTGCAGCCTGTGCTGCTTTCATAATAAATTTCATAATGAAAAGATGGGTCAAGCATGCATTCTTGTATTAACTCCGCATCAGACATACAACTGACCAAAAACACATGATACAATACACAAATCACTTTCAGCAAAGCACACAAACAATAAGTGACATCACTTGCTCAGCCTGTTTTAGGATCCAAAAAACGTAAGTGACAAAGATGCGAACTTGTCCTGCACTTCCACAGCCATGCAAGATGCTGGAGCCATCAGGCCGTTTTACTCGACAACAAGAAGAATATATTGCGTGTAGTAAACGGACACTGCAAACGTGCTAACCTCGCACAAGGCTGGAGACATGACAAGTGTATTTAGTTATAGTTGAATGGGCAAAATGCAAGGAAGTGATCACGCTGCCAATGCACGCAAGGCTCATGATACAAATATCATACAGTGCTACCCAAGACACCAACAGCGATACTTTTCCACCTTTCTCAGCCCCCAGCTTCTCATGCAAGTTGCGGTGACTATGGCATTGATTACTCACAAGCGGGCCTGCATACATATGCAAGATTTGTTATGACAGTAGCATGTACACCAATAACAATACAACACTCTCTTTGCAGAATCCTTAGGGAAATACAATTTTGCACAGCCCTGCCATGTGAGCTTATACCTAGCATGTCCATTAATGAGCTGCGCACACCAGCTCCTGCGGCCAAAATAAATTGTTAATATAATGGCATGTAGTGGATTCATTACATTTTGTAAGGTACCTCAATGTAATAAACCTCAATAGCTTCAAAATATTCACAAAATCATAATGATGTAGCAAATAGGCTTTGTACACCCGTGCAACATAGGAACAACTGTTTCCTTCAGTTTGCTGGCTCTGCCTTGTCATGTTCAAACACAAACATAAAGATAGAGGCAGGTGTCGATATATCACATTTTGTTGGGAGTCAGAAAACTTTGATAATACAAAAACAATGTTCTCCCTCAGAAGTACAAACCTCGCACGCCCCGTTCAAGACATTGAGCTTTTCCGCTATAAGTGGCCTTGGTGAAGTTTGTGTTTTTTTCCATGTTTATATTAACGGTGATGAATATTTGTAGCGTCACTGTGTATCGTTTGGAAGTGCAATCTGTTTTCGAACGGAGCTGGTTTCAGAGACAAAGCTTAGAAGTGTTCGCGCACCAGAAAATTATTGATTTTTAACTTAGTGGAATCTCATTGTATTATACGTCAAAAAACGCGTTGTTGCACGGCTAATACGATGGTGTAATTTGACATTTTCTCAGTTGCATCGTTTTGGAGTTGGCTGAAATAAACGTTTTGAAGCTCCGCTAAAAGCTCCATTTGCTCTAGAAAATGTGGACATGGACAGAAACACTTGCCGCATCATACACACCCTAAATGGACCACGACCTTCTATGTCATAACGAGAAAATCATTCCCAAAGTTTTGGCTCTATTTGAAAAAGTGATAACAGGCAAATTTTTTGCTCATCATCCGGTAAACAAGAATGTAGTCAACAACTTGTAACACCGTTGTACATCGTTTGCAAGCAAGTTGGCCTTCTATTTTCATGGGTTCGCGAGATATGAGCTTGAAACAATTTATTCCCCAAAATGTGTTGTAGCATCGTTTTCAAGCACAATCTGGGCAACAACTTGCAGCATCGTTGTACATCGTTTGCAAATAAAATCAGCATTCGAACAGAGTCGGTCTCGGAGACAAAATCTTGGAAGTTTGCGCGCACCAAAATGGTCCATTCTCAGCTCGGTGGAATGTCACTGTATAATACGTCATTAGGCGCGTTATTGCACAGCCAATAGCATGGTGTACGGCGTCGTGAGCACATCTACACAGAACATCTTCTCTGCTCAAACCTATTTGCGATTGGAATTACTCAGAATGAGGCTTCTGTGTATGCCATGTCATGACTGCATTCACACAGAACAGCTCGTTTGCTTTAATCCACTCCGGAGTGTATATACACAGAATAGCGCCTCTGCGTTAATCCATTCAGATCTGAGTTGATTTACGCCTGAAGCCACACGTGTGCAGACCTGCTCACAAATGGATTTACACAACAGCGCGTTTATGTGTAAATCAACTCCGATCTGAGCTGATGAACATAGGATCGGTATTCTGTGTAAATCTACTTTGTAGTGGATTTAAGCATGAACTAGGTACAAAAAAAATATTTCCCTGTATGCCTCGCCACAAATCCATTTAAGCCTTTTTTCGTCCAAAAAGGATTGCGTAAACGAAACATTCATTGCGCATCTTAAAAAACAGATCGGTTTCTGCTAGCTCGTTGGTAAGCTATTTTTATCAGACAAGTTAAGTAATGGTGACGTAGAATACAGCACTATAAACAAAGGATGGCTCAGTTCCAGCGCGGCTGTTTCCAACAGTTGCGCACATAAAAATATCGGGCAGCAGACGTTGCCGCTGCAGGGAGCGCGTTTGAGTCTGGCGGTGCCGGTGTTACGCGGGGCGAGTACGGATATAGGTATTAAAATCTGTGTTTGGATCGTTACCACCAGCTTGTTTTGTTGACATAGGATGAAGTGTGCCGTTATGTGATGTTTGTAACTTTGGACTTAACATATTTTTGAAATAGCGTGGCCTTTAGATTCTAGTGCTTTATTGATTTTTCGCGGCAGGCATTGGGACCGTTGATAAGAATATCAACCTCTGTGACCAAGGGTGGGTGTAGATGATGGCTGTAATTCGTGTCTAAATTCTTTGAGCATTTGAGTTTTGTGGGTGGTAGTGGATGCTGTCGGCTTAACACCAATGGCCATGTTTATTATAGGTATTATATGGTTGGCTTCCTACTGCCGACATTTGTTTTCCTTTTTCTTTTTATAAATGTGTGAGAACAGTTGTCATGAAAAGTGATCTGAGTGGTTAGATATTGTGAGTAAGGGCATCTGTGAGACCCATGAAGGACTGAGTATTCCAGTACAAAGCTGTGGTATTATTGGGACAGTGTTTGCATCCATTGAATAAAGTAGGCAGCTATCTCATTAGATAGATATTTGATCTTGCGAGATGGAAGCTATTTATGATTTATGTGGGCCATGCTACTGACTCCACTGCAGAAAACACGAGTAAAGTGTTTCCCCCAACATAAGTAGGTAAAAGCTATATAGTGCTCTAAGATAAGATGCAAAGTTTGGGTATTCAATAAAGATTTTGGAAGATAGTTGTATAAAGAATGATTGTGTATGATTCTTTGCACATGGAAAATGCAGTTATGTCACCAACCTCTACTACCAACAAGTTAAAACCTCATCTTGTGGTGCCCTTAAAGTGTTAATATGAGTAGGATGGCTGCCAGCCCCTTATTACCTTAAGCCTTATTTTAAGGCAAACTGCTATCTTGTAGCTATCAGCACAGCATCAGTCACAAGCCCTCCTTGTCAACTGATGCTGAAGTCATGGCTAGCCTTTAAGTGCAAGATTACTCAAACTTTACTGGTAGCTGAAATGCCAAACTTTTTATCTCCCACTGCAAGTAATATGTGAGATTTTAAGCTAAACCATCCAAGAGGCTTAACACTTGCATTAGCGTTCACAGTTATTGATACCATTATTGAATAGCTCGTAGTCTTCAATTTTATACACCTGGCACACTTGGCATGGACCCATATAGCATAGCGACCATTTGCAGAATCCCAAGATAAGCTCAGATCTGGTTGTAACGGTTTGATCATTTCTGCAGCAATCAACATGGTAGATTGTGACACAGAATGACTTAAGATTTTGGAGTCTGTGTTAACATTTGGTGTCTGTTTTCATTGTCCACCAGGTTGCCATCATGAACCTTTGGCTTCTGTTTGCTGTCTTGGGAGCTGTCGGAACACAAAAGATTGATATGGATATTAATGAAAAGCACAACACAGCTCTGGGGGCATGCCAGGCATGCAAAGCAGTAGTAAAGTCCTTCAAAGCTGTAAGTATGTGTGATAACTGAATGTAGCATGGATCCAAGATCCTGGGTGCAAATGATGGATCTTGAGATCTTGAATCATGATCCCACTAGCAAAGCTTGTTTTAAAATTCCAGGCCCACTCGTGCAGTATAAGACATGTCTGCTTAACACTGCAACATGGGAGTGCTACATAAAAATGCAGATTTTAAGCTACAATTATCCTATCTGCCTTTTTGACAGCACTGTGCAGCATGCTTCTCAAGGAAACCATCCTTCTCTGAAGTGAAACTGGGTGGACTTGACAATAGGACTGACTGGATGAATTTCATATCAGAACCACAAGCCTGCCAGTTCACCCTGCAGGCACAGATCATCTTTCCATATCACAGGCAATGGAGAAGACAGCTCGTGGGTATCACGAGGGTGGTGACGCCGACTGGGAGAGCAAAAAGCTGAAGAACTACGCCCACTCGGAGGTCCGACTGGCCGAGATCCAGTCTCTGCTCTGCTCTGACGTCGTCGTGGGGAAAAGCCAGGTAGTGATCGCCGAGCGTATGGTGCGTAACTGACGTAACTGACGTAACTGACCTCTGGCGTCTTCTGCTGTCTATTAATCGTGTCGTATCTGATGAGCTGCTACGAGATGGGCCAAAAATCATGTATGATGCTTTGGGCTGTGCGGCCACAAAGTGAATACTTGTCAGAGACGGCTGTGCTCAGGACGTTTGAAGACAGCTGTACAGCCTGCCGTTTATAAACGTGGACCGCTGGCACGTCTACACGCCGTCCGGCCCGGCCTGCGTCCCGTCCCCGTCCCTCGCACGAGCTGACGCTGCGACGCCCTCCGCCGCCGCCGCAGTGCCATCACGTGGCCAACGAGGCGGAGGAGGCGCTCGAGTCGGAGTGGTGGCCGGCCGAGCCGCGGCCGGACCTGCACGTGTGGCTGTGCGTCGAGAGGCGGCGTGACTGCTGCCCGGCCGGCCACTTCGGGCCCGCCTGTCAGCCGTGTCCCGGCGGCGCCGACTCGCCCTGCTCCGGCCGCGGCCACTGCAAGGTCAGCTGACGCCCCGGCCCGTCCCGTCTTGCAGGCCTGAGCCCGGGCTGGGGTCTTCTCTGCTCCATACATGATCATTGGTGGGATTCTGGCTATCTTGCCCAACAGTGATCTCCCCCACCTCTTGATGTGAGGCTCACTCCTCCCATATGTCGATCTCTGGGTCCCCTTTGGTGCTGCTTGTCTCGCGCAGTGAGTGCTGTTTCGCGTCCCTGAGGATGTGCCGCGTCCGGCCCCTGCAGACGTAGGCAAGCCCCTCCCCTGCTGGTGGGTCCCTCTCAGGTTTGCTGTGTAGCGAATCGTTGCCAATACTTCTTCCGCAAACGTCTCATCGCCCTGACCCAGGGATGCACCTAATGGATGCCAGAACGGGTCACCAATAGCGCACGCGGCTTCTTCCCCAGGGAGCCGGCACCAGGAAAGGCAACGGCGCCTGCGTCTGCAACAAGGGCTACGCCGGCTCCGTGTGCAGCTCCTGTAACCTCACTGACCACTTCGAGGCTTACAAGGACGACAACAAGCTGGTGTGCTCGCCCTGCCACAAGGCCTGCGACGGCGCCTGCGCTGGGGTGGGTGTTCGGACAGGTCGGGCAGGCTGGGACCATGACAGGCATGCGGACCACCCATCGCATGCACCATCGACGTGCTGTGTCGAAATCTGTGCAATTTCTGCCCGAGCGAAATAGATGCCTGTTGTCGATCGATACATAAGTTTCCAGTTATGTCCCACCAGCCCTCGATCGAGTTCCAAAACGGACCGGTAACGGTACTAAAATCCGAATTGCATGTGCCCCATTTGATCGACCCGACTCGCTTGTCAGTTGATAGCCTCATTTATCAATGTGCGGCCAGCCAAGCTATCTCTACAAATGAGACTGAGCTGTCGCTGGTCGTCGCCTGTCGGAGGCCGCGCGCGCCTCACAGCGGTGACTGCATCTGGCGCATAAGTTCTGGCACTAGCTCTGGAACTAGCTCTGGCACCAGCTCTAGCACCAGCTCTGGGACCAGCTCCGGCACCAGCTCTGGCACCAGCTCTGGCCAATACTGCTGGCCGCCAGGAAGCACCGACCACCGATCGCCGTCGTTCTCCGCCGGCCGTCCCCTGACCGGTTGCCTCGCCTCGTGTCCCGGTTCCGGCTTCAGCACTGACCCCTTCTCCGCTCCACGGCTCGCAGGCCGGGCCGAAGCACTGCGTGCGCTGCGCGGCCGGGTACCAGTGGGAGGCGGAGCTCGGCTGCTCGGACGTCAACGAGTGCCTGGAGCCGAACGCCTGCCGCGCCGACCAGCTCTGCATCAACGACCCCGGCAAACACACCTGCCTCGGTAGGTCGGTCTGGCCGCAGGAGCCGCCATGAGCCCCATGCCGGCGGTGCCAGCTGGCCTCGGACCGCCGCCGCGCCGAGAGGGTCACCCGTTGGGGACCTAGAGCCGGTGACCTGCACCCGAGCATGCCCCCTCCCCCCCCCCCCGTTCCCCCGGGTGCAGCTCGCGAGATGCCCCGTGTGACTTCGGGTCGTCGCTCCCCCAAGCGAGGCAATTGATGTGGCGCCTGTGGCGGGGTGTGCGGGGCTGTAGGTGGTACCAGCTGAGGTGGATCACGAGTAACGGACGAATGACAGCGCTGTGAAATGTAGCGTAGCCGATGCACACGCGTTGCACACATTTTCTATACATACCACTGATGGCAGTCAACTCAACTCTTTGGGCTTAACCCTGAACAACTCGTCTTGTCTAAAGGCTTGCAGCGACGTTACTTCTGCAACTCCCGTAATCTGTCGTTCGTTGGCATTAAATGGTGTTGGCAGGCACAACGTCAGCATATAATCCTAATCAGCGAGAAATGATAATCTCGAGTCATGCGGACCATTTTTGACCGTTTTCGTTTCGCGATTCCAAGCTCTGACTAGTTCGATGACCTTTGGTGACCTTTCGCCCTTGCCTTGATCTTGGACAGCTTTTGCACTCAATCTGATTCAAACACGATTGTGCGCACATTGGGTTAGACAAGACTGATTATTTGCCTGGGTATTTTTCATTCGTTGCGATCTTGCATTCGTTGTAGCAGTATAAATCACAAAAATGTGAAGACAAAACACTGAGATTGACCTGATTTAAATTCAGCCCAGGTCAGGTTGTCAGCTAATCTCACGAGGTGCGATGACTTAGTTGAATTCCTGAGACCTAAAGCGATCCAGTAGTTCTGGTTTGGCAGCTCGTAGTGTACGGCGAAATAGCAGTGCGGGTAGCGTACTGTCCTTCGTCAACGACGCAACTTAAACAGTAATGGTACGCATACCACAATGGCAATGCTGGCGGGCATTGATGTGGGGAATGGCTCATATACAAAGTATCGTATAAGTGGCACGGTGTCCTACGCGTTTTGGATTGTTTGGCTGATTTTTTCATTTGAATATTTATTCACTTTTAAGATGCATAGTGAACTGTGTAACGTTTTGCACATGTGTGTATATGTTTTTTATCTTGGAGGTTATTTGGCGGACGTCCGGGTTACTCCGCTGAGGCTGCTATAGGACGCTGTCGCACTCCTAATCCTGTGCACAGCCCTCACCAGTGTGCATGCAAGATAACTATGGTTTAATTTTGGCTCGTAGGTGGCGCCAGTGCCGCATTCATCGTCGCTTGGGCATTTCCGTTCATCGCGCTCTTGTAATGTTTTTTTTTCTTTTTTGCTCCCAACAATGGCGTCGCAACTATTTTGAATTTGCACGTGGGAGCGAGGGTACGGGGGAGTTCATTACGCTCAGACACGGAGATTGTCACTGGGAAGAATCCGCCCTGGGTTTTACCTTGGGTTTTGCTGCTTGGCTTATTGGCCAATGTACTAGTTCGTCGCTTGGCCGCAATTGTTATCCTGCTGTAGCCAAAGACGGATTGCCAGTTATATGCCACAGGGGTGGAATCAGAGGGATGAGACACCCATAAACTACGAAGGTAAAAACCCCAAAGCACTGGACCCGGTTTTCGTGAGTGTCTGGCCACGGATTCAGAGATCCGCCCAGCTATGAACCTAGGACGTCAATTGAACTTTGAAATAGACCATGAAATTATTAAGTTCAATTGGAAGGAAAGAATGAAATGACATGAAATTTTGCGTAAGTTGTCAAGTGCATTTGTGAGGAACATTATGCACATAGATAAGACAGCAGTAATAACCTTATTTTTCGGATAAAAACCAAGATAATCGCGATACAGTTGCGTTGATGTTACGACAACATGCTTGCTCGAAACGATAACAGAAGTGAATTCACTTGATTCGTGATTGGCAGGCTCCAACCACGCAACTCACAGTTCTTGCATATCTTAACGACATCGACTTCACGATTATATACTCACCTTTACGGCAGCTTCTGACGCCCGATTTACATCCACGACCCCGGCATCCTAGCGTACTTGCTACGCACTGGGCGTGATGCGACCGCTTCATTTTACAACTTGTGCTGCTTGGATACACTTGGGAAGCCTACCACAGCAACCTTTATGTTATAGCATGACATAGTTTTACGCAGCAATAGCTTTGGGCGCAAAATGACCACGGTTGTCGACGCGCCGTTAAGCCCAAATAATGACAGCAGTTCACGGTAAGGAATGTGATGAAGTAGAATTTGGCAGTGCATTGCAACTCAGTTAAGTTGTGTTATACCTAGTGTACCTGTGTAGGTCGGTGTTGCTGGGAAGGTGTAGGCCGGTGTTGCTGGGAAGGTTGTAGGTCGATGTTGCTGGGAAGGTGTAGATCGGTATTGCTGAGAAGGTGTTGGTCGGTATTGCTGAGAAGGTGTAGGTCGTATTGCTGGGAAGGTGTACATCATTATTGCTGAGAAGGTGTTGGTCGGTATTGCTGAGAAGGTGTAGGTCGTATTGCTGGGAAGGTGTAGATCATTATTGCTGAGAAGGTGTGGGTCGGTATTGCTGAGAAGGTGTAGGTCGGCGTTGCTAGGAAGGTGTAGGTCGGTATTTCTGGGAAGGTGTAGGTCGGTATTGCTTGGAGGGTGGGGGTCATTATTGCCGGGAGGGTGTAGGTCGGTATTGCTGGGAACGTTTAGGTCGGTGTTGCTGGGAAGGTGTAGGTCGGTGTTGCTGGGAAGGTGTAGGTCGGTGTTGTTGGGAAGGTGTAGGTCGCTATTGCTGGGAAGGTGTGGGTCGGCGTTGCTGGGAAGGTGGGGGTCAGTGCGGCCAGTTAGTACCGCATGCTGGCGCGCATACCCCACCATAAATCCACGTGGCTTGGAGCGTTTTAAAGGATTAATGTAGTATCTTGGCAACCAAGGGAGATACAGACGTGACATCAACTGCGTCACGTAGCAAATATATCACCGCCGACATATCACGTAGCGATCGCACCCACTCTTCGAGCCACGCAGACGCCAAGTCCACCAAGAAGCGGACCATGTCGCGGTGTTTTTCAGTGCTTTGGTCACGCCCTACGAAAGGATAAGTCGTTTGAAATTCATCGATTTCCTGGACTGAAATGGACCAGGGTCTTGCCAGATTCGTAGCCGGCCAGTGTCGAGCCATGGATATTCGCGAATGTGTACGTTGGCGGCGTGCATTCAACTTGTCCGACCGCTAGATCGTCGTCAAATACGGACCTTCCAACGCATTGGCAAGATGCGCTTGTATGGGTTGTTCCGGTTCGCCCTGGCAAGCTTGGTTTTCAAGATGGGAATGTGCGACCATGGTATGCGGCACCCCTCGTCCGGCAGAAGCGAGAGCAACGTCCGCCTGAGAGGGTCAAAGAACCTGCAGGCCATCACTTCTCTCCGAAGTGCGTCTTTAGCCGCTCTCTGATCTCCGTGGCTGCGTAGGACGGCACACTGTCTTGATGGAAAATGCGCTCGTCTCTTTTGATGTGGCTTATCCTTCCGACACCGGCCCAAAATGTCTTCAGCACCGCGATGTGCTTGGAAGAGTTGGTCGTGTGCCAGGTGTACATCATAAGTAAGAATAGCATGCTGCGACAGGCGCACCATCAGTCACGCGCCAAGGAACAAGCCACTCAATCGCTGTCCGTGGCGGCTTAAGAAATGCAAAACGAGTCTCTTCAACTTGTCTGAAATTGTGATTGACTTCGACAAGGGACCAGGAAAGTTGTTTGAATAACCAGGCCCGTTTTTGGTGCATTCAGACGTCCTGGCATTATATCACTGTGTTTTGGTGAAATCGGGCACATATAGCACAGTATTTGATGAGCTTACATACATAGTTCATGGTTGAATATATATATATATATATATATATATATATATATATATATATATACACTAGGATGGTGATTCTGCTCCATCTGTGCCCTTCGCAGTCAGCGATTCTGGAGGCTTCACAACTCTCTTCCTTCTCATAAAACCGGAGCAGCGAAAGCCGTCCAAGGGTCCAACGCTGCATATGTTGATGTTTGTTTTCACGGTCGCCATGCAGCAACATTGATTTGTCATTCATGACTGCATAGCGCCGATTGTTTGCATGAACTGTCGCCTTCGCCGCGCACCGATTATACATTGGAATCCGTGGGGAAACGCAGTCCATAACGTGATGTAACACCCACGATATCGGCTTATGGTGATGACCCTTGGTCTTTGAAGCATCTGGGTATCATCTCTCGCTTTGAAATGAGAAAGGTGTGTAATGGTACTCAAAGTGCTACAAGTGTTGTGATTATAAAAGAAAAGCCGCCGCCTACCGTCGTGGGGCATGTGAGGCCGGACCCGGCCGCATTGCTAACGGAGGCTAAACGCACAGCAGTCGCCGCAAGCAATAGTGTCTCCACCCGTGCCGCATCTTTGATATACCCTCCCCCCTCCCACGTACACACACACACACACACACGCACGCACGCACGCACGCACGCACGCACGCACGCACGCACGCACGCACGCACGCACGGCCTCGACTTCCCCGTCCCATCATGCTTTGCGGTACCCGCCGCCTCCCATCGCCCCGTCGGAGCCATGGGTCCCGTGACGGCGGTAGCTGTGAGGCTTTGCGCTAAGGCACACAGGCGTTGCAAGATAAACAGCACAGAGCGTGCGTGCGAGACAGGAACTCCGCGCCAAATAAAAAGGCACCGCGCGTTTTTTTTCTCTCGAACGTTTCCCCAGTGCATCCATCGGTCGCCAGAAGGTTTTTTCGCGGGGGGGAGGGGCGGGGAACTTGTCCTCGGCATGGCTCCACATATAGCTTTTTAAATGTGCATGACGCGCAGCATGGAGCACACTTTGGTTCAGTGCGAGTGTCTGCGGGGTCATTTTATTGTCCAAGGACCACGGTGCAGCCTGGATGGGGCCCTCGCCGGCGTCGACGCCAGGTGGCTAACCCATCGGTCACTGCGCCCCGCTGTATTGATTCAGACCAGCCCCGCGGGCGACAGACAGTGTTATGATCTCCGTCAGGCCTCGACGATGGGTGGGCTTCATGGAAGTTGTGAACTGCGTTCCTAATGGAATTTCGTGGAACAGCTGAGCGCATGCAAGATGGTGTCGAACTCCGCAACGCGTCAGTATTTCCTGTCTTTGATGTGCGATTCCCATGATAATGTTGCGAAAATAAGGACATGTAAGCTACGATCGCGGATCATTCGCTAGCGGTCATGCTGACGAATGTACCAGAGGTTGAGCCCATCTAGCACTAGATTCTGTTAGAAAGCTCTGCGCCTGTATGTCCAGCCAACCATTTCACGGAACTCATATTCTCCGAAATGTCCGGCCCAGGGCCCGAATTTCTGGCGGCGCGGTAGGCCGGCTAGTTCATCGGTTGGAAGCCCGGTTCGCAGTATTTGGCGGCAGTCTGATCTGGGCCGGCGGCGGGCCCGCGGCCGATCCACGAGCCCCCCCCCCCCCCTCCCTTCCCCCGTCATTCCGGTGGTCGGTTCCTGACCTGACCGGGCGGCGCCCCCTGACGGGCAGCGTCGGTCGGCCGCTCGGAGGTCGCGGCCGGCGGCACACTTTGATGTGGTCTAGCGTCACCGTTCCCGGTAAACGAGCCACTCCGGTCGCTGACGGCGCCGGCGGGCAGGGTCAGCACCAGCGGCGCGAGCCGCGCGGAAAACGGGGCGGGGCTCCGAGCCCGCGCGGGAAAGATCCGTTCGGATCACGAGATATCCACCCACCCCTGTGCAGCGGATCGATTTGGACCAGGTCATCTTGTTTGTTGGCGGATCGGCCCGTGCGCGGCGGAGAATGCAGGGTCGGATTGACAGTAGTTACACGAACCGTACAGACTTGTGCTGCATACAACATTGGTGAGCGAACGCGCGATGCTGAAAGGCAAACACGGGGCTGGATAATAGGCCTCTGGTCCAGACTCCGAACCGATCACACTCCCTGTGCTCTTCCCCAGTTTAATACTAGCTTTCATCGCTATACCCAGTGTCACGCCGGACCTGACTGGACCTCCCACAGTCTGCCTCCGTTACGAGCCCACCAAGACTGCCCACCAGCCCGTTGCCTGCCGTGGTTGCAGTCGGGCCAAAGAGCTGTCCGTAAGACTGCCCACCAGCCCGTTGCCTGCCGTGGTTGCAGTCGTGCCAAAGAGCTGTCCGTAAGACTGCCCACCAGCCCGTTTGCCCGCCGTGGTTGCAGTCAGCCCGAAGAGCGGTCCGTAAGACTGCCCACCGGCCCGTTTGCCCGCCGTGGTTGCAGTCAGCCCGAAGAGCGGTCCGTAAGACTGCCCACCAGCCCGTTTGCTCGCCGTGGTTGCAGTCAGCCCGAAGAGCGGTCCGTAAGACTGCCCACCAGCCCGTTGCCTGCCGTGGTTGCAGTCGGGCCAAAGAGCGGTCCCTGATCGATCGGAGCGCCCGAGTGGTGACCCGCACCGACAGCGTCCGAGAGGAGCCACCTGCCCTGACAGTGCGGCCCGTCCCGTTTCAGACTGCGACAAAGCGTGCGCCACGTGCCACGGCGACGGGCCGGATATGTGCCACCAGTGCGCCGAGGGATACGTCAAGAAGGGCAAACTCTGCGTCGGTGAGTCCAGCGGGAAATTGGCGCCGGTGATCTCGCGCGCCTGGTCCCTGTAGAGAGGCATGGACTGTGCGCAGAATGGTGCTGGAAGTCTGAGTTGCTTGGGTTCGCTCTCCTTTCGTCGTAGATGTCGCACTCGCTAGCACCCTTGCATCGCTTGAAGCACGCGTCTCGGGGAGTAGCGGTTGTGCACTGTCGCTGAAGTGTAAAGTGGATCAGGTTTGAAGTGGCTGAATGACGGCACCAATCAGTGAGGTGTTTGGCGGCCGCTCATTACCTCTGGCCAAGATCAATGCGCGTGAGGACCCGGCCGCGTCAGTTCTCACACCGGTAATGAAACCCGACACTCAGCTTTGCTGACATACACAACAAGGCCTAATTGACCAGCCACTTGCATCATGAAAAATGACCGTCTTGCTAAATCGGATGTCCTCGACAACATTCATCATTGCGGTCTTAATGCCAAGAAGGCATTAATACTGCAACGGAGTGTTTATATAATTAGAGTATTTGCTGGACACGCGCGTCCGTAGTCACGTGTGTCCGGCGCGAGACGATCGCGCGCCTCACCGGGGGGGGGGGGGGGGGGGGGTTCCCGACTGCGAGCTTGATAAGCGTGATGTTGAGCCTCCTGCCGTGATTATCTTCTTATTGCGAATGCGAAAGTTCTTAATGCGATGTTGACGAAATGACAGAAACAGCGCAAAGATCGCACAGTGTTAATCACGAGCACCTGATGTACGCCCCATCGGTAGCGTATACCCACACGCACCACGACGGCGCTAAGCAGGTGGCCGACCTGTACTGTTTGCTCTCTGATAATCCGCGGCATGTGCCGTGATATACACAAGTTATTGGAAACAGTTCACCTTCTCAGTATGCGGATTACGCAAACTTGCGCCCAAGATCGCAGCAAGATAGCGTTCCAGCTTGGTTAGACGGCCTCGCTCAGGAGCGCTGTTCCTGAGCGAGGCCGTCTGAGCGAGGCCGTCTCCGGACTATGACAGAGCATCGTCCGGAGGCCGCCAATCGCTGTGCACGGTACGCACGCAATCGCCGGACGCTTCAAGACGTTTGACGGATTTACAATCTGCATTTTGACAGGCGGCACGAGATGAATGGCCGTAGGGTCCGTCAGCATACTCATAGCAGAGCGACCATAAACTCACATCAGAAACGGTATCGAATTTCTAGAGGAAATGTAGGGTTCACCGCAGTGCTCGCCTATCGTTTGGTGGGTGCGCGCCATGTTTGCCACCTGAGTGGCTGTTTGCACTGATGACACCTACTGGTAGCCTGTATGATACTGACATAGGCCTACTGACATAACGCGTAACACTGATGCCACGAAGCCATTTCAGATATTCGCAGTAACTGTTTCAGTGCTTACGGTGGCCACACTTCCCATCCCAGCTTTCTGCTCTGTATCTGCACTATCTGCTTGCGGGGACATGCTGTGTGTTAAACTACATCATGTGATGATCTGTTGCTGTGGTTGTCGTACGCTGCTACGGAATTTGGCTTATCATGTAGCTACAATTGTTGCACGCTTGTCATTCGGTGTATAGGCTATATTATTTTATCTCTCTATGGTCGCATGCTGACGCGAAGTCCTGAGATGCCCCGTCCTACGACCGTTTTTCTTCTACCTTCGCCTTATGCTCCTTGAGACCTCGAAAATTAAGTGAGGGGGTGCCGGCTAGTGTAATGGTTAACGCGTCTGCGGAAATTAAGCGAGCGAGAGCCACATGAAGAACAGTTTGAGAAACTAATCAAACCTTTTAGACAGATGGCTGGACAGTAGCGATAGTTGCCTTTGGCCCGTCAGCTCAGGACGAGGGGGTCACATTCGCATCTTACAGGCCCTCTCCTGTCATCTCGAAAATTAAGCATGCTACGACAATGCGAAGCCGACATTAAAATGGACTTGATGCTCTATCAGGTGGGCACTTGTCGACATCAACTCGTGTGGCCTGGGCGATGTCATGCAAAGTCAAAGGGGTAAAGGCTATTGTTGTTTGCCCGTATGACTATGCGGCCAGCAGATTCTCAGCATATATTAACAGGAGTGTCCCACATTTGTATTGGGTTTTGACCTGAAGTAGCCATTTTGAGGATCATTTGGTGTGGTTCGCTGCCCTGCCCGTCTTATGACCCAAAACCCTGCAGTTTCTGAGACACTCGCCCGCGAACATGTACGGACTATTTCAAGGTTCAAGGTCATCCAGGCATCCAAGACGCCATAATAACGTCACAAGAGTAGTTTTCCACTTAAAGATGTGCCAGTAGATACATTTTTATCGTATCTGATGTTGGACTCAATATCTTTAAATGTGGGACATTCCCTTTAAAAATAAGGAAGTATTATCAGTGGGGAAAATAGTGTGAGAAAGGCTGCTTAAAGCTTTTAAGATGTATAACATTAAGGTACCCACCGTATAAACCTAAAATATCAAACATGGATGCAAAGGTCAAGGTTTCACCAACCCTGACCTTGGGTAATATGACCTTGTAAACAATCAGAACGATATGAATGCACCTCAGAGTGATGAAGCAAAAAAAATTGTCTTAAAAAGCTTTTTGTGTGCATATACTCTGAGAAATATGCGTTATGATTTCTCCTCAACAAAATGTGAATGTTACAACTTAGAACAAAAAATCATGATAAGGCATGAACTGGCATGATCACAAACTTCACATTTTCACATGAGGCATTTAAAAGCAAAGACAAAACTCAGCTGGCCAAAACTTTAAGCACCGTTCTCGAACCCGTTGAGAAAGCATGTCGGAAAAACACCATAGGTGGCATCCGAGCCCCTGTCGTAGGGCGAAGCTTGATCATGTACCAGTATAGCATGTATTGTTTGGTGCTGTTCAGGTATGATATGTGGCCGTGCCCTGCGTATGTTTTCTGCCTGCTGTGCGTAGTGATTTTAGATTGCTGTTATCGCTCATCGTTCATGTACGCTCATACTCAGGAACTTGTTTCTCAGTTAGCTGGAATGTGTAATAAGAAAAGCTTGAAGGCTTTGTTGAAGACGGCGAAAGCATGTTTTCGGTTTACCTTTTTTCATCAAACTTGCGAGACGGTTTAAGGACATCCATCTCGTTGGGGGTGAGTCATCCTGCAGTTCCATGTCTTTTGGTGTCATACTCCAGGTTTTTTCATCGTTTGTTCCTCTTCATGACAGTCGCGTCTCCGTCTCTGCACCGAACGCAACCAATTCTTCTCCGCCCCGCTTAATGACGCATTCGGCGCATTGTCTGACCGGTTCGGTTCTGAACATGCGTTCGCCACCGCGTGCCGTGCCGTGCCGTGCCGGTCGGATCGCGTTGGGTCGGAGCGCGGGCCCGCCGACATGCGTGCGCGCACGCGTACGTGGGTGTGCTGGGACGGTCCCGGCCGGCGCCACGCCACGGCCGCGGGGTCACCGTGCCGTGTTTTCAGACGGCGAGTTGGAGGGCAAGCAGCGCCACGTGACCGTGGCGCGCTACCTCACCTACCTGGGTCTCTGTCTGGCCACGTGCATCCTGCTGCAGCGCAGCGTGACGCTGGCGGCCGTGGTCGGCCTGCTGGTGGCCGCCTACATCTCGCTCTCTGAGTACCACCTGGACTCGCGCAGCCTGCTCTGACGGGCCGCTCGCGGAGCGGCGCCGGCCGGCGGCGCTGCACTGTGCGCCGCCGGCCTGTGCGCAGACTGAGCTGTGTCTGATGCCCCGGCCGGGCCTCGTGCCCTACGCGGGTGTCAGCGGCGGCGCGCTGTGCGTCGACTGAGCTGTGTCTGATGCCGCGGCGGAGGTGGGGTGCGCTGCGGCCGGGCCTCGCGCTGCACGCGGGTGTCGGCGGCGCCGTGCTGTGCGCCGACTGAGCTGTGTCTGATGCCGCGGCGGAGGTGGGGTGCGCCGCGGCCGGGCCTCGCGCTGCACACAGGTGTCGGCGGCGCCGTGCTGTGCGCCGACTGAGCTGTGTCTGATGCCGCGGCAGAGGCGGGGCGCGCCGCACGCGGGTGTCGGCGGCGTAGCCGGCGGCCGAGTCGACGGCCGACCCTCAGCCGGGACGCGTGACAGGCAACACAGGCAGAAACGAACTCGCGGCAAGGCGACTTTAAACTCGCGGCGGAGTAAACGTGAGCTCATAGCGAGACCAAACACGGATGGGCAACGAAACAATGCGTTGAGAAGGGCTCAAACTTATCGTGAGGCGAATAAGAGTGTGGTGCAACACTGCTCACAAGTGTATTACGATGTGACAGGTGATAAGAGGTGATATTGTACCGCTTTGGTGTTGTGCCAGCGGCGAAGTGAGTCACGAATGTGTGAAAACAACTGGGGAATGCCACGAACAAAGCTCTGCGTGTGTAACGTCTTTTTGGCATTATACGAGGTGCGTGGTGGTAAGATGTCGGGTTTGCGTCAGATCCTCGCATGTCTGGTTGAGCACCTGCTACTGTCTGCACTTTAGTGGTACCTTGTTTAGAGTACGCTTCCTAAAGCCTCGTCTTCTGAGCGACATATTTCTTCCGGTCCTGTCCAGCGCCCCCATAGACATGTCACCCATCACGTCACGCAATCGTTCCGCGTGCTCGGACATATTCTGCTTGTTGCGTGTCACCGTGCAGGTTCTGCGTGTAGTCTGCGGCGGTGTGATACGTAGGTTCATTGTAGCTACACACTGCCTGGCGAATAGTGTCCTAAAGTATCTGCAACCAGCACGAACGAAATAAAACTGTGAGAGCATTCGGAAAATGTTCGTTGTTTCCATGAAGACATGCGGACGATGGGGCCCGCCTCTGCTTGTCCTGTTTGCCGTGCATGTCAGATTTGGTGTTAAATTAGGCTTCTGTTACGTAACGTCAGCAGTATAAGGACTTGCGTACTGTTTGGAAGTCCAGAACGACCAATCATGGCTGATTCGAGCATTACACCTACGGTAATATATGGAGATCTTGGTGCCCAAAAGGCATCATAATTATCATTAGAGCTGCTGTTATTTCTGGGAAGTAACGCCATTTATTGATGAAACCTCAGCTACCCTCTCTTTTACATTGCTCGCCGGTGTCTGGCTAGGTGTATTCGTAGCGACCCGGATGGCAGATGACCTATGCCGTAGACGTCATTAAGGACGTCACACCTCACAGCTTCTGCGCCGGTGTTCATAGCGACTGGACGACAAAGCTTTTATGTGACGTCACGTATAATCTTTGCCAGACGTTCGGGACCTTTTCTTTTACTTGTTCGAAGGGAGACGGACATGACACAGCTGAATAAATTATAGATAAGTAAATTTGCGGTCTTTGTTTCCATAAACAGCGTAATTTGAAAGAATAATTTACAGTTTCCTTTGTTAGGAGCACGCGTCGTACGTGCAAAGGTAAATGTTAGTGTATGGCCTCCGCAGATATTGTCATAGGTGTAGCAGCGTTTAAAAAAGTGGGATTTGGGGGCCCGACTTAGGGTACGCTTCTACTGGGAAGCCGGCCCGGTCACGGGGGAGGGGGGAAGGTGTAGGGTATTGTCCGCTCGTAAAGGGAGTGTTTCATATTGGTATGGTGTTTTGAACTGGAATAGCTATATTGAAGGTGTATCTCACAGCCCTGAACTTCTTGAGACCTCAGTCCCTTTTTCTGAGCTAAATCCTTTTTCTGAGCTATACGCCCGCGAAGTTGTGCAGACGGTTTCGGACACCATTTCAAGGCCACCCAGGCGTCCATGCGCTATAATAACGCCATTCAAATTCTGTCATTCTGTTAGCCATGCGGCGATCAAGGCCAATGCAAATTTAACTGTCGAGCCATCCATATCTGGTATTCTTGAGCAGGAATTCCAGATAAAAGGGTTTCCAATATGTTTTCAATCCATGTTGTGCAAGGTACGATAAAGTAGTCAAATAAGGACGTATTCAGAAGCATAGATACTCAACAGAAGAAATGTGTTGTCCAGACCAGTCCTTTTTTGTTTAAAAGTATGCCAATAGTTTAAGTGAACTTATTTTATCATGTTGTCTGACGCGTGCTTTAATTCTTCGTATGCGGGACATTCCCTTTTATTCATAAAACCTGTTCTGGAAATAGTTCAATGTCATGGTTACCATGCTAGATATGCATATACAGCTGTTTTCCACCAGCGCACAGTCTTGCCTTTTCTGCTCATATATGCCATTCGGCAAATACGACTTTCCAGCTTCTTAAAATTATTTGTTCATTTCGACATTGCTTTCTGTGGGGAGGCGGTATTATACGAGCGGGTAAACATTTTGGGTCATTGAGAGGCATCTACTTCCTTAGGGCAGATACCAGTTCACCACCTGGGCACAGGTTGACCAGGATTTTTAATGCAAATCACTGGTTAATAGTGCGCCAGAGTTTTAATGCGCCTAAATTTCGCCGGCTGTTCTTCAAAAGATCATATTTTTCGCAGCGTTTTGGGTGGAAGCAAGTTTGGAAGCTTCAAATACTGCCAAAAAGAACGTGCGACGAAAACCATTCAACCGGAGCCTCTCCTGCAACAGGCCAAGTCACATAATAAAGGTCCTTCTACATGTTCCTTTTCTGAGCTTTATTTCCGTCCGCCGTCCGCGAACAGAGCCCTGGCCAAGGGGTCCCCCGCATGACTGACTGCGAACTGATCGTGTGACTGCTTTGCTGCATGGTTATGGATTAGCATGATTTTTCATTGGTGTGTGAAGCATAGCTATCACGCCTGCCACAGTATCGAGTTCGGAGTGATCTTCCCTTACACCGCACCACAGCAGGAAATATGCTTTGGGAAGCTGCTGCCTGCCTCAGGCATGAATTCGTCTATCGGACACTCATTTGCCCCTCTTTCAAAGTAGCCGACGTGATCTGATTTTGTATGTAGGCAGGGGCGTAGCCAGAGCATTGTCAGGGGGGCACGGTGTTGACAAAAGTCGCCCGGATGGTGTCACCTCACAAAAGCGCCGGAATAGCTTACTTTTTAACGAGCCTTGTCAAGCGAGGCACAGGGTTAACCAAGGCCCCTAGTGGTGAAAGGCCGCTACCAGAAAGGAAAAAAAGAAATTGCCGGATTGCGCGCCGAAATTGCGCACCCGTTCAAGAGAGACACTTTTTCATCATATTGTTTTTTTTTTTGCCCTTGTAGCCAGAGCAGAAACAGAAACCAAAAGCTATCGTGTAATAAATTTTGTTTGTATTTTTAATTAAAGAAACTGCAGAAAACAGCCGTTGAGCGACTGCATGGAGTAAATCACTGGCACAAGCTATTTGGCTTACGGTGGTTCTACGAACTCATACTAAAGCGATAGAGATCAGAAATTCTGCCAAATTTTTTATGTGTTCTTCGGGGATGTTGAGGATCCCCTCAACGCAGTTTGTGAACCGAAATAAGGCCCAAAAATGTGTATTGACATGGCTAACCCATGTCTGGCGTGAAATGTTCAACATGCAGCCAATCGATTGGTGAGAAAACGAATGTAACTGGTTTTGGACACGCGCGCTCGCAAATTTTCCAACAACCTGGACGCCGGGCGTTGCAGTCTCCATGGGCTGAGCGGCGTGGGCCCCGCGGCTGACACTAAGCGGTGGCCAGCGGACAGACGAAAAACATGACGCATCTGAAACACTTTTTTAACACTTAAGAACATCAGTTCGTGCGTTCAGGAAGCAGGTCTGGCGTATATTTCATTTGCATTGTTCAAGTTGATAATAAGGACGGATTACCCTTTACAACGCCGCGAAGTGGTGCAGGAAACTGGTGCTGGAGCTGGAAGATTTATAAGTGGAATCTATTTATGGTGTTGCTGCAGCTAATAATTAGACGGAAAAAATCATCAACATTGTCCAATTATTTATTGTTGAAAACATATGTTCCAGTTTAATCTGTGAATGGTTGAAATTTATTTCGGAACAAAACTTTAAAAGCATTATTTCACGACGGTCACGACGGTTTCGCGCGCACGGCCTCCGCCGCCAGGTGTCACTTGTAGCGGCCAACGCCGTTCGGTTTCACAAAACTGCAACCCCGGCCATCGCTGTTCCTTCTTCTGAGATTGCGAGCGTGCAGGGTCTAAAACTGTTTTGTATCATCTGAACGTTCCCAGGCGAGCTTGTGTTGGTCTTTTTCATTTTTTTTTTTGCTATTTTTCTGTCCACTTTATTCAGTACTTCTGAGGCCTTTAACGTTTTTCGGGCAAGGGACCCGTGAGTAAGTAAAATACCGGCAGGCACATTATCATTACCAGTCCATGCTGAAGGGCCATCCCGTCCCAGCGCAGGTGCATCCCTGCTGCCATTCTGGCAGCACGGCGGAGATGTCCCCTGGTTGGTCCGGAAGCCCTTAGAGGGATATCTATACCATTTGCAACACCATGAACATGTGCTGAGGTGAGTGTAAGCGGCCATTTAAAGATCTAAGGCTTTATAGAAATACAGAACGGCGCCTACGGTACCAGAGGAGCCTCGGGTGCGCCCCTAAATATATTCGTTTGCTCGTCACCGTACGTGATAGGATAACATGCTGCAATGTACTTCATGAAGCAATGGCCCAGTCAAACAAGTGTCCATTGCGGTTTGAGAGGGATGGCTGAGGGACTAGGTAAATCGGCATGCATGTTAAAGTTTGCGTAATAGTAAGCTAAACACAGATTACATTCGAAAAAAGTGGGAGGGGGGAGCAGTTCATACTGCAGCCCCCCACTTTAAATGGTGGTGGGTATTGGCCCCGTGCCCCCTCCCCTCCCCCTTTCCTATGTCGATGGATATTGTTACGAAGGTCACGAAGATGTTAAAAAACGTGTAGCGCTGCGAGCACGTACGGCAAGGATTCTCTGCAACCTTATGTAGAAAAGAACATTCCAGGCACGTTGTGAATGCATCCTTTGTGTAACGTTTTCATCAGACCAGCCTGCAGCTGCTGCGAGAAGGCCTGCTGTTCGCTAGGCTGGTCGAGCTGGATTAGTGAAGCATCCCTTTCCTGCGCATCAAATCTGACACCTGTCAGAACAAGCGACAGATCTGTCACGGGGCAGCACTCCGCCGAGCGTGCTACCCAACATCGCGCTGTCGCTAGGGCACGTCCGCTCTGCCACGCCCTGGGAGGCACAGGCATGTGCAGGCGGCGGCCCGCGTTCGAACCGCAGCGCAGATGCCTCGAAATAGCCCCGATGCAGCGTGACTGTGACGCAGGCCGGCGTATTGCGCGACAAACCGCATCGACCGCCGGCCAGAGACCCGATCCGTAAGCGTTGCACAAAAGCACCGCGCCCGAATCGAGCAACTCAGCGTCGGCCAAATCCCTGCAAATGATTCGCCTCCGGCGTGGAGCGGCGGGTGATCTGAGATTAGCAGGTGGGCAGCTTCCTCGGCCCGCCGGCCGGCTCACACACAACACGGCTCGCATTAGGCTGGCCCGCCGGCCTAATGCGAGCCGTGTTGCCTGGCGGCCCGGGCTCCCGCCGGGCACGGGCAGCGCCGGACATTCCATGCTGATCCTAGAGTTTCCATCCGCGATGTTGGAGGTACTGTTCTGAGCTTCTGCCGATGGAGCTGGTGGGAAGCCCCCGACGTTGCGTTGGGTGTAGGTGATAATACCGACTACCAGAATACCAAGAGCTGTTCATCCGTGATGAGAGAGCAGTGTGTAGCCGCTGACAGGTCCCTTGATAAAGTTAACTCGACGTGATTGGGTTCCCATTGTGTCCCATTTGGCGAACAAGCGACCTGAGAATAGTATGGAGCTGCATCAACAGATGTCTCTGAAGTT